CAATGGACATATTACAAAACTTGTCCAATACCATACGAAATAATATAATTACAATACTTTTAAACAAACAGAACAGAATAAATGACAAGTACAGGTTAGGTGATACTACATGGATTTACGGATTTTTAAGACTATTTTGCATGGTGTAAATGTTCACAAATGTAATAATCAATTACAATTATGCAACAAGATTCCAAAATGAATTATAAATACCTGCACTGCTGGTAGGGTGAAAATCCAAGCAATGTACTTGTCTAGCACCAGTTTTCTTAATATTATCTTCCAAAATACTCAAAACAAAGTTTTAGACATGACAAATAAATATCGCGACACAATTCACTCTACTTACAATGCATTGCATTCTATGTGCTAACAAAATGCTGAAGAAATTCGATAATAAAGAGCACCTACCTGCTTGCAACCTGCACGTAACGAAAAACAATCACTGCCTAGTGCCTACATTGCCAGCTTTTTGAATTGCATGACGTGAAACGTTTAGTTCGACTCACTATGGATCTGTTGTAGATGGCGCAAAAATCATTACCCCGTTTTGACCGCCAAGTTTCCCTACCCTGCACTGACACTGACTACCGGCCAAGCAGTACATTTGTGCAGTTTTGTGAACGCACGAAAAAGTGCAATGCGCGTTCACGCCACCGCGGTGGGACCATTCCTACCCTTACGTAGAACAGAAATATCATTTTAAGAACATCAAAGTACTGTCAAACTTCTCTGTAAATGGCAATTTTCTTTGAAAAATTTGGAGCGGTTTTTAAGAAAATGGCGCTTAAGTGCTACAGTAAATTCGAAATTTGAAGCACATTTCCACACGAACACGCAAATGCAATACGGTTTACAAATGGCTAGAAATGTTCATATTCTCGCCGTGAGACATCTTTAAAAAATTACATTCGTGTAATAAAGAAAATGGCATTTAATCGCTACAATAAATTCGAAATTTGAAACTCTTCTTCACTGAACATTTTCAAGTTTTCGAAAACTTCATTTAAAGTCATTTGAAGCATTTTAACTCCAAATGAAATAGAGTTTACAAATTTCTGGAAAATTTAAATTTGTGTAATTTTGGAAGAAATAAAAAACAACAAAAAAAACTTCAAAATGAACTTTGTCATACTAAAGAGGGCAATGAGCACTATCCGTTCGGAAAAAATAGAGCCATTTTTGAGAAAATGGTGTTTTAGCGTGTCTAAAAATGCGGAATATTGAACGTTACAGAAAATTTGCGTTTTTGAGAAACATGTCACTATTTAAAGCACGTGTACACAAAAAATACCAATATTGTGAACAGATTGCATCTAATATCAATATCAGCGACGTGAGAGTTAAATCAAAACAATTTCATTTATTTTAGAAAACTAAAGAATAGAGCAATATGACGTTTATGCCAACTCATACTAGAGTACATATAACACTATACGTTCCAGAAGTTTAAAGAACAAATTTAAAGCCAATTTTATTAACTCTTGCATTTGTTATTTTTAAAATTCCACATAATGCTAAAAAATTACTAAAATTTTGGAAAAATGTACATGTCAATGAAAGAACTAATTATGGAGAACAAATTTCACTTAAAGGTAAAATCTCTTATCTTTAATTCTGTAGATATAGGAACTCGCCGAAATAAATTCAGTGTAGTCCGTGAAAGTCTTACCTACGCCACCTTTACCTGAGGGTTTTACTCTTATCATCACAAGAAATTTAAAGAAAAAAATATGAAGCCATTTTTGAGAACATTTTGAAAATGTCCGTGGGGCGTTATGTAAAGTACCGCCAAAAATTGACTCAGGCGACATAGACAGGGGTTTATTCGCCTTGGAAAAAATCGTTCGTCTAATTTAGGCGCTAGTGTTGTTGACACACCAGACAGACGGACGGGCGTTTTATTGTCCTTTTAATTTAGCAACTAGATTTATCCACTTTTTCGTTACCAGGACCTGGCAACGAATTCTTTTTCTGCCGAAAACCCGCGCAGCATTCCATAACTTTCCCTATACTCGGTATATACGTACGTATACGGGAAAGTAAAAATCCATCAATCCTCGCCAGTTTTAGCTTACCTGTTACATTATTTTTTAGCAACTCCATCAAACTGCGAAATGTTTACCATTTGCCCCATTGTTTATCGAAGCCTATCAAACCGACGAAGTTCCAGCAAAACTAAAACCGTTAGCTCGACACGTCCTTACAATAGGGCAAAGAAGACAAGCAATCCCCTCTGATATTCTGATAAGGGCGTAGTGAAACAGAGAAGCCGATTTGGCTATTGACTAAGGTCCGATACGAACCCACACCTGCCACTTACACATTAGCAGTAAAACGCAAAATTGCGTGCGCGCTGGAACACAGCACACTAATCTTTTGCTCGCCAGTCGCCACACAACGCAGAAGCCCGGAACACGTGAACCGTCACCAGTTCGCACCTCACATTAGTGACTCGATTTTAAAACAAACAATACTTATCACATAAAAACGGAATTAAATGTAATGTTTATAAAAAAGATTATTTACAGAACGCACAGCTCTGCACTTCCTAATTTCAATTTCTCGTGGCACACTATTTTCGTCGGACGAGGGTATCACAAAAAGAAGTCGAAGCCATTTACAAGTTAGCCAAGTGCAAACGAACGAAGGAGAATCTAACAGGTTCAAGGACACGATTACGGAACCTTCGGTTGCGTTGCCAGCACTCTCGAATTTGCCATTCTAATATATATCGCTGAATCAAAATCTAACAGCAAGCATTAAAGGCACAATAATCTGTAAAAATTGAGGTATGGGAAATTAATTGCAGTCATTTATTGCGTAGAGATAGTAAAGGATAAATTTGTTCAATCCCCTACATCAGACCTTGCCTTTTTCGGGTGAAATAAAATTTGATACATATTGTACATTTCGCTATTCTGATGACTTCAGTGCAGATCTTCAGCTACTCTGAAACGGAAAGCAATCTCGTGTAGGACTGAATTCGATATTTAATTCTTAACAGACTTCATAACACGCTCAATAGCATCACAATACAATAACGCACGTGAGATCTTGTCGGCAAAATTTAAATACATTTAGTCCATTTACTTCTCTGTAGGATGCCCCCCCCCCCATGACGTAACGTGCTGGGACATCTGGATGGGGGAAAATTCACATCTGCACACCATATACCTGAGCCAGAGTAATTTTTTGACATTTGAAACTGTTGAGGAAAATTTGTAAAATGTGACATAACATTTTCTTAGCACAAATACTTTACCAAGTACATGTGTTGAAGTGAGGATACCAAAAAGCTCAAGTGTGTGAGGTTATCATTGTTTGGATTTTCCACATTTCTCACAACACATTCTGTCACCTTATACTGGTATTTATTCAAATCTGCATGACTAATATCAGCTACTACTATTCAATGGAAAGATTGAAAGCTACAAATGGTATGGATGGCACCATAACACTGACCTGCCAGAGGCAATTTTTAATGTATCGCAGATACACCTATGAGACTACTGGTTGTGCCCAGAATCAACAACCATTTCACAATATGAAAGGTGAAACTAAAGTTAGGAGATACTTTATACAAACACTACAATTTACAAGTCAAAAATACATCCCCATTCAAACTTATTAGGCCTGTGCCAAAAGTAATTTATTTACACTATTGTTCCAAAGCTACATATAAACAACTTTTTTTAAAAACTAAATAGCCAATATACAATTTTTTTAATCCTTTCTAAAGTAATATTTGAAAACATTTAAGTATTTCAATGCACAGTCCTGATTGGGCTAAGGTGGATATGTACATGTTGCACTATTTTTGTAAGGGGAAGTTTCACACCAAATCATTTGCATATACTGCAATTACTCATTGTTTTATTTGCCAACTTAAAACAAACTAGTTCATGCTAGGGCAAATGTAGAAAGTGCTGACAAACGAGTAGTACGAAGCATTAATTTCTATTAAAATTTAGTTTATACTACAAACTAAGAGTATTGTGAAGTAACCTTTGGGTTTCAGTTAAAGCAAAACTCAATTTGATTGACAAGTCAAATTTTTTTAAAAACAAACATTTTCAATGTACAAATTTTCAGATATGAGTGCACAAATTAAAACCCTAGCTTTTATTGAGAACCACAGAATTGACTGGAAAACTATCCTGAATTTAGTTATATTCCATTAATTTCCCATAAATTGGAAAAGGGATAAAATCCGAACACATTTGAACAACATTTAGGTACATTCAAAACCTAACATGCTCATTTGTTTCAATTTTTGTGAAGGATAATCCTGAATTTCCATAGCAAACACTGCATTCCGTCAGTTATCCACAATTTAGTTTCTGGATTCAGGGATTGAAGATTACATTCTGCACAGGTTTACCTCTAAATACTTAACCAACTTGAAACATACAATTTTAATCTTCACCAATTTGTGTACTTCAAATTTTATTGAGCAAAAATCTTGGCAGTTTCTTTTCGGGATTGGAAAAGGAATTAACATTTAAACATGGAATTCAAAATTTTAGTTTTTTATAGATAGAAATAAATAACAAATCAAAACATTGAGACATTTTACAGTGCCAGGATACTTCAAACACTCAATGGAATGTTATTTCTTGTCAGTGCAGAAGTGTACAGAAACCATCTAGTACAGAAACGAGTACCAGTAGTTCAATGGAAAGAAAATGAAATGAAGTTTTATACGAAGATGAGTTGGGGCACAGATGGTCTACCTGTCCCTCCACATCAGTAGGACAGTCATGGACGTTTAATTATTATCTGAAATACAAAGTACTCAAGTTAATTTTGAACACAAACTTACAGAATGGTTTACACAAACATTTAATGATTCAAAAATTGTAAGATTTCCCTAGTAGTGGTACTTACAGCAAAACTAAATTCATACATTTTGCACATATTCGTAAAAAAGGCATTTTATAT